CACGCTCCCCATCGCGATACGTCCTTATTCCCGATTGATCTTTCAGGAAATTCAGAGTCGAACGTTCTTCTCGTAACAGTTATTATTACCCTGAAAACAATGCCGCTTTTTCGGTATCGTTTCGACACAGAAATACCAGATATTCCTCGTTTCCTAGGCTAACTATCGTCTCTCGTTTCGAATGCGGAAAACTCGAGAACGAAAACACCGGATTCCTCTTCCGTTTATTTCTCCAGATCGTTCGGTGGAACGTTCGCGTATCAACACAGGCTTCAAAGCGTCGCGACGCTTACGTTCAACAACGCGATCCCTGACGAATCAATTATTTCCCTCTCGACACGACCACGCCACACTTGTCTATTTTCTTACGAGCTGTATTTTCCCTCGCGAGGAATAACGACGCCGCCGTGGCGCTTCCAACAATTGCCACGCTGAAAATCTCGACGTCTATCTCACCTAGTCTTAAACTAGCCGATAATACTTCGTCAACCGCAGTTATATTCGACTACTCGACGAGGTGAATTTTAGGAGACAGCGAACAGCTGGCTTTCGCGACGATTTCGAAGCAAGTGAAACGACACACGCGTCGGAATAGCGTGAATTTTAACGGAGGAACTGGTTCCTGGCCCTTCCTGGTGCAAACGTTTGATTTATGGAACGAAGAAGGGCTTGTAATACCTTTCGACACTGCTCTATGCAGAGTAACGGTGAAACACGAGGGAATTCAGACACTTTTTCTAAATGAAACTGGAAGTGTAGCTAAGCTTCACTTTGTCGGGATACAAGAAGCGACCTTGATGCAAATTTTCCCCGAAAATCCTCGGCCGAACGAGTGAGAAGGTAAAAGACGGACGCAGGAGGCGTACAACGGATCCTTTGCTCTCGGGATCGTTTACAGAAGACACGGCCAGGTCAGAAATCACCTAGCATAATTATCTCGAGCACAATCACCCCTTTGACGTACGGACATTCGTGCAACTGTTGGTGATTTACGGCTCTGCCCTGTGCCTCGGTCCCGTGCATTCCGCGAACCGGGCAACTATCACTGTACTGTCCCGTTTGCGCAATTAAAGTTCGAGTAGGCTTGTCCCAGCAAACGTTCCCTCATCAATGGCCGAAAAATTGCGGGGACACAGAGCTCGGTTTAAAGGGCCTTGCCCCCACGCTGATACTTTGAACAGCTCTTTGATCCGCTTCGGGTGTACTGTAACTGTTCTTCGACTTGCAGTAGAGACACACTGTTCCTCCACGTTCGTCGCTGGATTTCGGGGGAAACTCGGGATTCCGTGTGATCCTAGGCGTCGAATGGCACAGAGAAGAGAGGAAAGGAGCGAGAACGTAAATGGAGGCGTGAGCGCGAGGGAGAGGAAGTCTCTGTGAGGAGAGGCTGAGTAAAGGAGCTTTGGTTTTCGTATCCCGTTTGGGAGGCCCGTCGAATGGGCTTCGGCCTTCGTTCGTGAGAGGCCGGACGCGGTACAGCGAAAGAGAGATGGAAGGAACCTCCGGAGTAACCAAGAGAACGGGCCAAGGAAGAAAGGAAGAAACACAGTGGAGGAGGGTAGAGGAAGAAAGAGAGAGAGCGAGAGAGGACGAAGGAAAGGGCCCCCCGCGCCTTACAATGCAGTCTGATTTATGGCCCGGGCGCACATACATAGAGTTACACACGATATCATAATACCATTAATTCTTCGTCAAATTCCCCGCTGACTGAATCATACTGGCCGCGCAGTAAATCACGCGGGGCGACTAATGTGAACGCGACCAGCGCTCGCTGTCTTATCTCCTTTGAACCACGGGGGCAGGTGGATCCAGTCTCTTGGACTCCGCTGAATTACTCTTGTCCTGGCCTCGACTGGACCCCCTCTTATTTCTCTCTCGCTCGCTCGCTCTTTCGTACTCTTTCTCGATCGTTTCGTTCTTCTTCCTTCGCTGTTCTACGAGAGGTCTAAACTCCCCCCCATCAGCGACGCACTCTATTTGTCTCGTCTCGTTTCCGAGAACGTAAATGGAGGCGTGAGCGCGAGGGAGAGGAAGTCTCTGTGAGGAGAGGCTGAGTATAGGAGCTTTGGTTTTCGTATCCCGTTTGGGAGGCCCGTCGAATGGGCTTCGGCCTTCGTTCGTGAGAGGCCGGACGCGGTACAGCGAAAGAGAGATGGAAGGAACCTCCGGAGTAACCAAGAGAACGGGCCAAGGAAGAAAGGAAGAAACACAGTGGAGGAGGGTAGAGGAAGAAAGAGAGAGAGCGAGAGAGGACGAAGGAAAGGGCCCCCCGCGCCTTACAATGCAGTCTGATTTATGGCCCGGGCGCACATACATAGAGTTACACACGATATCATAATACCATTAATTCTTCGTCAAATTCCCCGCTGACTGAATCATACTGGCCGCGCAGTAAATCACGCGGGGCGACTAATGTGAACGCGACCAGCGCTCGCTGTCTTATCTCCTTTGAACCACGGGGGCAGGTGGATCCAGTCTCTTGGACTCCGCTGAATTACTCTTGTCCTGGCCTCGACTGGACCCCCTCTTATTTCTCTCTCGCTCGCTCGCTCTTTCGTACTCTTTCTCGATCGTTTCGTTCTTCTTCCTTCGCTGTTCTACGAGAGGTCTAAACTCCCCCCCATCAGCGACGCACTCTATTTGTCTCGTCTCGTTTCCGTATTTTTATAGCCGCTGCTCGGTTATCCACGGGAGAATCAACCAGCCGATTTCACGAGGGACTACCGCCACTGTGGCAGCCACTTGTCGGGACAACGTTTACGTAATCGCGGTTTCACACAGATCCAACGTGTGCCACGTTACCTTCTTCTTTCTGCGAGAGAGCAAGTGTGGGTGTTTGACGCTTCGACGGACGTGGGTATTTTTTGGGGGAAAATGGAGGAGATGTTGATGAAGCTCTTGACGTATCTACGTCGATTTTTGACGGTTCTATTGGGATAGCCTACTGAGAAATTTGAGAACAGTGAATTTTTAATTCATTTCTGTCTATTCTAATTCCCTATCGATCACATAAAACATTCGTCCTCCTTGTCAAATCTTCGGCTAATTCTTAACTTCCTCGGTTTCTATCTATTCCACCTTCGCTTTGGAAGATACTGCTAAGAAATCGTAGAAGAACTGTGACAGGTAGCTTCAATAACGTTCAATTAATTTCTGGTTTATTATCAGCTCTTATCAACGTCCATCTCAATTTCGTATCGATCTTATCCATCATCCGTCCACCTCCTCGAGTCTTAAGCTGATTCTCAACTTCCCTGCGCTTTCTATTTATTCTTCCACGTCTGACGTGTAATTCCCACCTATTTCCAAACAACTCGAGCTGTCTTATCGATTGTTCCCCGCTATTCTTACGCGCCGTTTCTCGTCCTCGCGCGTCCGCCATTCCGCGACAACGCGAAACATCTACAAACCGGTCTACAAATTGCTCCGAATTATCCTCCGATAAAAACACCACCCACGAGCTCGCACATACTTAACCCTCCGACACGTCGTTTATGAAAACTGGCAAATTACGCTCGTTCGTTTATTCATGAACTCTCCTCTCGGTAGCCGAATTTAATAACGACATAATTTACACGGCAATTTCCCTAATTCCTCCCCTCCCTCGGTCGTTCGCCGGCGAGAGTATTCTCTAGCATCGCATAAAATATTTCAAACGTGAATGGGAGAAGAAAAGAAGAAGGGAAGAAGAGAACTGACTAATTTGGTCACGGTTTCCCTGTTCGACCATCACACACGAGTGTAGTAGCATGATGTACGAGCGAGGATCGCTATCGCGACGAGTATCGAAATTTATAATCGCTCGGCCAATATATTTCAGCGGTGATTTAGCGGCCGCATTCCAGTTATGACACACTGGCACAAATTTCCACGGACTCTCCTTGTTACAAATCACCAACTTTTACCCGTTTTTTAAGCACCGGTATTTCCCCTCCCGTCGTAAGTTTCCATTATGAATTATCGCCGATCGCGGCGCGGTCCGACGCCGCGATTTACGGCCTAAACTGAGCCAACGCAACGCACGTTGAGTTCCTCGTAGGTTTTCACGAACCTTCACATTACAGCCTACGTACGTCCGGTGTAATTCGTTTACGGCGGTCCGTTTCCTTCCTACGACCCGGGAAACACGAGACGCGTTCCGAAATTCGAACTTCTTTTCGCAGATCGAGGGGTAAGGAACACGTGTACCTACCGCGTCTCCTTCGAGAAGAGAAAATTTCACGCGGTTTGGGACTTGGAGTATTTTTTTTGTGTTGCAGTGTCGTTCTTTTTTAGTAGATAGATTCGACAGGCAAGTGTCTTTCTGAACAATTTTTGCAGCAATGTGGTGCTCGCTTGTTTATTGTTTGAAGATAATTCTAAAGAAGAGAACCAAGAGACTACCTTTGTAGCTTGCCGTAATCAAATCACCCAGTGTCTTTGTGAACAATTTTCAAACTAATTTACACCTTGCTCGCCTGCTGTTCGAAACTGACTATAAATTAAGTCTGGGATTAAGAATTGAACCAAGAAAAAAAGTATGTACTTTCGTGCCTTCCTGAAATCGAATCACTCTAATTGCAATCCTAATTTGTCCCATACTCGCCTATCATTTACAGCTAACTCTAAATTAAATCTAGGATTGAGAAGTGAACCAAGAAGAAAAGGATGTACATTCGTACCTTCCTATAACCAAGTCGCCCAGTGTCTTTCTGAGCAATTCTCGTAGTAATTTGTCCCTTGTTCGCCTATCGTTTAAATCTAGCTCTCAATTAAATCCAAGATGAAGAATTGAACCAAGAGAAAATTACTACCGCAAATCACTCTAATTCTAACCCTAATTTCCCCCTTGCTCGTCTACTCAATTAAATCCAGGATTAAGAATTGAACCATTTCAATAATCATCTCACTGAAAGCCTACCAGAGAGCAAATCTCCATCTCCAGTGAACGCAAACGCAAACTCGTGGTAAAGAATGAGAACCAAGTGAAAAACTAGAGAAAATAACGACTGCAAACTTACTCTGTCCGATGTGCACCCTCTTCATCCACGGGTAAATCTGCGGAGGATTGCTGCCGGATGCGTTCCCTTTGTTCGACGAATTGTTCCCGGTACTGGAGGTGCTCGAAGTGGAGGACGCTGGCGAGGATGCGGACGACGCAGTGGTCAACGTTGAGCTTCCTTCTTGCACAGGTCTGGAACTTCCACTCGCAGGAGACGAGGCCGATGCGGCAACCGACGACCTCGACGAGCTTCCTGGCGGCGAGGTGAGACCTGACGCGGCCTTGCTCGTTCCAGGTGCCACCAAAGGCGTCGGACTATTTCTCGAGGTGGACGTTGTCAGATCCTGAGGCGACGCTACGCTGGTAGACGACGTCGAATCGGCGTATTTGCAGCTCGACGTGGACGGTGCCGATGGCGCGGAAGCGGCTTGCAAAAGCGGCGTCGTCGGGTCCTGGTGTAGCTGCTGCTGCGGATGATGCTGTTGAGGATGATGCTGGGACTGTGGATGAAGGCTGTGCTGTTGCGAGGTGGTGGTCGCGCTCAGCCGTGGCTGAGGTTGCAGCTGAGTGTAGTCTATCATGCCCGTAGGCGCCGTGTGCTGCATTCCTGACGCTGGAGTCGCGTACGGATGCTGGGGATAGTGTTGCTGAGGCGAGTAGCAAGGTGCAGGGTAGCTGGTGGCCGCTGCATTCGGATTGTAGTAATCTCCACCGGCGGGCGATGCCGCCTGCATTGGTTCTCCAGGTGAATTAGCGGTGGCTCTTGGTTGTTGTTGCGCCTGTTGGCCCGCGTAGCACGATGTTAGAGGATTGACGAACTGATAGGAACTCATGGTTCACCGCAAGTGCACCGCAAGTCGACGTCACTGTACCGATCGTTCCACACGTGTACGGTTCGACATTCACGAGAACAACAAGAACACCAAATCTAATCTCTCGCTCAGATACGTATGGCGGCAAGATACGCGCACTGTCGTTAAATACGGGACCGTGTCATGGTTGTAATCGTTGTGGGTCTCTCTTTCACGAAGACCACGACGACGACGACGACGACGACGACGACGAGGAGGACGACGATGGAAACGGTAGCATGTCACACTTGGCTTGGGAAGGGAGAGAAATTAACAAGCTCACCCGTACGTGTGTGTCCCTCTTTCCTTCTTTCTTTTTCTCTTTCTTTTCACCGCGTTCACACCTATCGCGCGACTGGTTACACGCGGATAAACACGTGCCTACAAAACGGATTCGATAATGAACGAGGGGATTCTCCTCTGCGACGAATAGAAGGTGGCCGTGTGCCGGCAGGCGGGCAGAGTCTCTGTCTAAACCGACCTGAGTCGGAGTTTACGAGGGCCACGTGGGCCTGGGCTATAAAACTGTCTTCTGCTTCTTTACGACCTCACAACTCGCAATTACCTACGGAGAACTCGTGGCGGCAGGCGTGCGGTAGCGCGTAACAGCCGGCTTATCGGGGCTCGCCCCATTGAAGACCGAGAGAGACTCCCCGCGTGCACTTCTTTCTCCTTCCGTGTCTCTTCCTTGTTTCCGTACTGTCTTCCTCTTTTTCTTATTCCTCTTCTTCACGAATCACCGTTTCTTCCTCTTCTTCCGTCTACTCGATCGTCGAAACGATGTACGGCGGGCGACGGTTCGCGGTTGACAATCGAAACAAACGAACCAATCAACTCTGTCAATTTCTCTTGGAGACGTGCGACAGACGGGAGAGAGAAAGAGAGGAGAGAAGATTCGCGGAAGGAAAAAAAAAGAGCGGAAAAAACGGATCGCGTCGGAGAAAAAATGAACGGATGATTGTTTCTGCCCGTGGTTGGCAGTCTCGGTATCGCCGGTGTACCGATATCACCGCATTAGGGGGTGAAGCGTTATTGCCGTGGCGGCTCGGCGGCGTTCACCGTTCCTGTTGCGTGCGCGGAGGGTGGTTGGTATCGTACTGAAGGCCTCGCCACGATCCAACGGAGGCCCGGTGTGTGCGGTAGCTTGTCACGTGCCCGCGCTCTCTGCGTGTCAGAGGAGCGCCTCGACCAATCCCCGTCGTTCGTCAAACCTTGATTGGTCTCTCCGCCGGCGTAGGATTCTTCAACCCCGTTCCTTGCGTCTCCGTCGGGTCTGTGTGGTGCTGGTGCTGCTGCTGCTGCTGCCGCCGCGGCTGGTTGCTCGTGTGGTGGTGTTGCCTGGCTGCCTTGCTACCCGACGTGACAAGAGCCGACGAGAGGGGTGTGCGAGCAGGACAGGAAATCCGAGGGGTCACAGAGAGGGGATAGCACCGTCAGGGGGGCTAATGGAGAGATATTCGGGAGCCCCGAGGACCGATGGTGGGGCGAGGATCTGTCTCTCCTTCTCTCTTTCACGTTCACGATTCTCTCCTCTGCACAACCTTCTGGCCGCAACGTCACCAAGAAGTAGTCTTCCGCTTGCCGTCTCTGCGAGGGGGCAACGCGCGCACGCGCCCCCTTCCGCGTACACCCTCGTGTCGACGAAAGAAGGAAAGAAGAGGTGGTTCCCTCGCGAGACACTGTTCTCCTCTCGATCGTAACCGATCTCCTACGATCCTTTTCCGTTTCACGATTTTACCTCTACGCACTGTCGTGTAATCGTCGCCCTTCGACAAAGTTCACCGACAATACAGTGTCCCCGTCGCCTTTCAAATTCACCGGCCGAGAAGAGCACTGCGGTACGGGTCCACTTCCGGGCGCATTTCGCGGGCCCCGCGAGTCTCTAACGGATCGAGAGAGGGTCGCGGTCTATGGAAGGGGCGCGCATAAGTCAGGGCGGCCGGCCGCGGCTGACAGTTTTATGAGAGTTTGATAGTCTCCGGCGCGGTGTTCTCCGGTTGACGGTGCCAGAGAAGCCGGAACGTGTCCGTTGGAGAGAGAGAGAGAGAGCGAGCGAGAGGGAAAAGAGAGGAGGAGGAACGGAGAAGGGAAAACACGCGCGCACTACGCACCGCACTCTTTATTGTCCCATAAATTCAAACCTGTTGCCCATAGTCGAATGAGAGGGACGGGGCTGGTGTGAAAGGAGCAACAGAGACGGTAAATACACAGAGGGACAGGGAGAAAGAGAGAGAGAGAGCGGGAGAGAGAAAGGGACACGGCGAAAAGAGAGAGGAAAGCGTGAGCACGAGGTTAGGAATCCTCTCCCAATCGCGGCGATCCGATTGACGCCCCCGTTATCGCACGTACGGCGAACCCGGACGCAACTCGTAACTCACTGAACCGACTGAGCCGGTCGAGAGGAGAGCCCGAGGAGTTGGCGGCTCTGAGCAAGCAGAAGCATGTGTGACGTAGTAGCCAGTTGGTCAAACGGGGGGCACCGCGGGGTGGCGACGTGCCGCGTGGGGTTCCGGAGCGAAGGGGACGGCCGAGGAGGCGGAGCTCTCCTTTGGCTTCTCGCGGATAACGCTTCCAGCTCGGCTTCGTCAACCGTTTCCCTATGCATATTTTCCGCGTTCCTCCTCATTACGCATTGTCTTCCTGTTTTCCCCTACCTTCTTACCTACCGTCTTCTCCTCTGTCCTTGGCTCGACGTAACAACGTTATCGCAAATCTTCATTTTCACCAAAACGATCCTCGTTTCTTTCTTTGCGTTGAAATTTTAAAGAACGATTTTTCCAAAACGATGTGTACACGGTGTTAACACGGTCGAGATACAGGAGAAAAGCGAGCGGAAAGCGCGTAGTGTAGCGCTCACTCGCCAGATGTGGCAAGTGCGGCCGTTCCTGTTGAATTGTCGCGCGCGCCCGCCCCCGGCCGCCCCACCCCTTCGACAACATCCCCCCACCACGGTTACGCCGCGCCCCCACCACGGCACACAGAACTGGCTATCTCTTCCACTTTAAGTTCTCTCGCGGTTGTGTTCGTGTACGTGGCCATCCCCACCACCTCTTCGGTATTCGCCACTTCGGAGCCCGGTATTTGTCCTACACCTACCATCCTTCCTAGGCCTCTCTTTCCTCGTCGCGGTGGCGTGCCCTGAACGAGCGCGCGCGCTCAGAACCGACTGGTTCGAACGGCGCGGCGGTAGAGAGGGGAGAGAGATAGAGAGAGGTTGACAAGTGATCGCGGATCAGCGACGGTTCATCCTAGCCGCAAAACACCGTCGAGTCGTTGGAAACGCGATCATCACCGGGACGTTTGCGGATTCGTCATCGCTCTGCTTTGTTCTTGCGCGGCTGATTTCGAGGGGCGCGTTTCCGGCCGCTTCTCGAACGGGTCTCCTCGAGGGGAGAAACCGGGCCGAGTCGGACCGTTTTAGTTTATGGTTTCGTTGCGGGGTTTCGAGTGGTGCTCGTGGTGGCAGGAATTAGGGAGAAATTGTTTGTTTATGGGAGTTATGTAGGTGGACGATTTGTTTGCAGGTGATTTATTTCGAGTAAGGGACGTACAGATTTGAGGATTTTGGGAATTGTTTTGGACTAGGTGTAGTTACTCTAAAAACTATTACGGGTCGCAATAGAAATTAATGGAAATTATGTCCAGTTACTGTGTTACACAAATATTGGGAGAGTTAACAAAAATGAATGCTTTCAGTGTTCCTATTCTTCATATTCATAACGTTTAATGGTTCCTCTGTTAATCGTATATACAATTCCCAAGAAGATTTCTTTAAGAATTTCCTTTACAACGCATCGTCGTTGATTCCTCATTCACCAAGTCCCCAATTCTCTCAAACATAAAACACACCCTAATAAAATCGCTCTCCTCCAATTCATATTTCCCGCAGTCTATCAAGCCACACACGCGGCAATGCAACCTCTATCAAAATTACAAACTTCCCCCGGCGTTCGCCGAAGAATGCCACTCGAAAGTTCTGCTCTCTGATGTACGACGATCTTCGTCCGGGACTCAGCCCCCGAGATAACGAAGTCATCACGTCAGGACGTCGATGTATTTCAGACTGACGTAATGAAAGCCAAAGGCATCGAGAAGGGGATCGGGTTGGAAAGAAGAAGTCGGCCACGGTCGGAGCATTTCGGTCCGATCCGCATTGCCTCGCGGCCGCGTGTCACTCTTTGCTTCTCTATCGTCTTCTCCCTCCCGCCGAACCTTCTACCGTACGCCTCGTCTCTGTTCCGCTCCTCGTCCCATTAGAAATTCTAATAAAGCCGTCTCAGGTGTAAAAAACGTATCGGGACCCCCATGAATCACGTGTCGCAAAGCGGAGCCGCCAGGACACGTGTATCTGTTATGCCGTTCTCTCCGCGACGCGAACTCGAGGACGCTTTGCGCGTTCTGCCTCCTCTCTTCGAGCCCCCTCTCGTAATCTAGCTGCTCGTCCGGCCGGAACGAGTCCGGGGAAGTAATTATTGTCGTTGATACCGGGTTTTAACCGGCCGCGAATTATCGTCGGCCGCGCGTGTGTCGTTTGCAGGTAGCAACGGGATCGAGATGCTTGTAAGCGGGAGATTGGACGGAGGATGTGTGCGGAAGGGAGTGCTTTGGATAACGATTGCCTGTGAATGCGAATTTATGGAGGTTACTTTGGAAGAATTCTGGTTTAATTATTTTGTGGAATTGATGGAGAGAGGGGCTTGTAAATTGGAGAGATTTGAATATTTCTGAAATTGGCTAGGAGGAATAAAGATATTTCAAAGAGTATTTATTATTGTGTCGAGGATAGGATTCTCTGTTAAATTATTTAAAACTTCTTCAAGAAATTTAAGGACTTTGGATTACAAAGGATAGAATTTGGTGAGAGAGGGGCTTGTGAATTGGAGAGATTTGAATATTTCTGAAATTGGTTAGATGAATAAATGTATCTGGAAGATTATTTACTTTCTGTTAAATTACTTTAGGAAGTTTTGCCGAGCAGTTTAAGGGCCTTGGATAACGATTGCTTCTGATTAGAAACTTGTGCACTTTGCGTTTAATTATTTCCAGGAATTAATTGGGATAAACAGGCTTGTAAATTGGAGAGATTTGAATATTTTAAAAATTGGTTAGGACGAATAGAAGTATTTGAATTTATTATTTATTCTTCGTATGATTCTATATTAAATTATTTTAGAAAGTATAGAAATCGAGCAATTTAAGAACTTTGTATTACAAAGGATAGAAAGATAGAATTTGTAGATAGAGAGGCTTGAAATTAGAGAATTTGAGTACCTATAGGATGAATAAAAATATTCAAAAAATTATTTATCTTCACGAGGATCAAATATCCTTCATACTTCAAAAATTGCGTAGCCAGAATGAATAAAAATACTCGAAAGATTGCAGCGTCGAGGATAGGGTTCTCCATAAAGTGACGTTACAAAATTTTCCCACGCGTTTTAAGATTTATTAGCAATCCAGCAGACGTTAATTCGAATTTTCATAAACGTTACTTAATTTGTACGTGGTAATAGTCGACCAGAAAATTGATTCAACTTCCCAAGCATCACACTGGACCTGATTCCGCCTCCGGTTGTACGACACGCCGTAGACCAATGACGCAATGACTCGTGCGAGTAAGTTTAGGAAGCAGAGGTTTAATGTAGATCTTGTCGTGGTTGTGTGCCTGTCACGATGCTCGTATATTAAACCTCTGCGTAGACGGTTCCATGCGTTTGCATAAATAAGGGTTGCCACGTCGTTGGTTTCTCTTTTCCCTCGTTGATGTCCTCCGTGGGCTGATGCTTCTCGTAGGCTAATAGAGACGGCTGGAATGTCGCACTCCTTCCTATGTAACATCGATCGACAAAGATATTCGAATACCGAAACTTTCTCTGAAAATCTGAATATTCGAACATCGTTCGGAGAAGAAAGAAAAGAAAATCTTCTAAACTTTTCTCACGAGGAGGCGCGAGAGGTCTGATAAATTCCGCGCGGGTTACCCGGACAGGGCGGGGAGAGAGAAAAAAAAAATATATTCAATTCGAGGTTCACAGCTAAGACGCGCTGCAGAAAAACCAATACGTATCCGCGTGCCGGCCATGATGGATTGCCGGAGCTATGGGAAACTATCTGTCAAGCACAATATCGACCCTCGCCCTCTTCGTCCAACCCCTAGAAACCGAAGGTTCACTCTCGCTGCCAGCCTTCGTCCCAGGCTTCTTCTCTCTCTCTCTCTCTCTTTGCTCGCGATGTATATAGTCTCACCTATACACTGCCATACGAACCTTTTCTCGGCCCCCTTTTTCCTCTCTCTCTCTCTCACCCCACTTCTGGCCAAGAGAGTCCGTGACCATTTCGCAAATGGCACATCTCTCCTCCACCATAGATCCCGCTGCGTTTGCATAAGAAAGACCAAGGAATCTATAGTTAAAGAGCGAGTAGCTGGCGTGCACGAGGAATCCCCCGCGATAAGGGAAAGCTCGCGGTCTCTCCCCCAGGTAAAATGCTTTATCGATCGCCATCGACAAGTCGCGATCGAACGATAACGACAACACGACTCGAGCGATTCACCCGCCTTGTTTGTCCAATCGCCTTCGCGAGATTACTGCTAGCCTATTCACGAGGATTGCCCTATGTCGGCGCTCTGAATTGATTCTTCTCTCTTTTGGCAAAAGTGATTTCCTACGAACGCGTGCACGCGTTATGCTTCCTCGATACTTTCTTCGTGATTGTGTGCCGTGTCGGAAGAACGAATGGTAACCCTTTTAGAATAATTTATTTTTTAGGTAGAAAGTTATAAAATTACTTAATGAGACTTATTTTTATAATCGACTAGTATTTCGTTGAAGGTACAGTTAAAAAGTATTCACTTCTAGCGCAAGGGAGCTTACTTCTACGTCTTCTTAATTAGTTACTTTTGTGTTACGCAGAGATTGCTAGGATACGCGCTCCCTCGTTTATAGAAGCTTCTTTATCCTTCGTTTGGAAACTATTTTATCACTTGTCTAGCGTTAGATAAATAAGAATATTTACACTATTTTTACTAACTAGTAGGAACATTGTGCGCTGCTCGCAGGCAGGATTCGCGAGATACAATTGCTGAAAGATCATCGCAGAGGAGGAGAGTATACTACGTAAATTACACGACAGAAAAAGGAACACAAATTGGCAGAAATTTAGAAACAGGACGACTAAGTTACCGCGCGATCTACGAAAGTTCGACGATTCAAACGCGCACTCCACGCTCGGTGAGCAACTTTTAACGAACACAGGCCCGCAAGAGTCCGCGGAAGCGGCACAAAAATTCGTCGACTTCGGCGAAACATTCCAATTGCAAATTAAACGAGGAGAATTGTTTTTAAAAAAGAGTAATCAGCCGTAAGAAGGACGCTGTTGCACGCACGAGGAACGTTTTCGGCCATCTTGTTTCGTGTGAACGGCGCAGCTGCTCAGCGATTCCCCACCACTCTTCATCCCTTAACTTTTCGACTCCCCACGTTGTCGCCCTGTGTGCCTTGCCTTCGCAACAGAGTGTATCGGTAAGTTTTTAAACCGTCTTCCACTTTCAGTTACACGAACGTTCAGCTTCCCTTCTCAAGGAAGTTCTCCACCTCGTCGAGGCTTCAGAAGACTTCCGCTCGAGAATATTCAAATTTTCCTGCCGATTACAATCTTTTTCTGAAAATCTCCTCCATTTTCCCGTGCAAAATTGGTCCGAAATTCGCTTGCTCACCGCTGACCTCCATCTTCGGGCTCGAAGGGGCGCCTCGAGTCCCTTTCCCTCGCTGAAAGCGCGCGCTCGGAAAGGCGTAACGAAAGCGGAAGCGGCGCGACGCTGAGTCAGCGTCATTAATCAGGCCAAGTATGAATTTTAGCGGGCGCGTCAAAATATTTTCGAAACGAGGCTCTCGCGCTCTTCCTCGCCGCCGCCTCCGTTCCGCGGAGGTGGAGAGAGGAGCGTGTTTGTAACGAGAAACGATCGAGCGAAATACGGCGTGAACGAGCGCGCTCTTTCGGGATACCTGAGCCGCCGGGTATGCTCGGCTATTTAGCTCATTCGGCCATAAATCATAGTGGTTGCAGGGTCAGCTGGCCCGATCCTCCTCAGGACCCTCTGTAAACCTCCAACTTTATCGTGCTTCCTTGGATTTTCCGTGTCTCCGAACGGCCCGTCGATTCCTCTCTCTCTCTCTTTCTCGGTAAATGAGAACGTTTCTCGAACACTTTACGGCGAATTATTCGAAGCTACTCGAGACAGAGTGGCAACGTTCACTAGGTTTCGAGCGTTGATGAGTTGAATGCAACACAGAATTGCGCACATATAAATCTTCGCATTCTTGTTCTTTGTGCCGAGCCTCGAGAGTGATTAGGTCAACGATACTACAAATTGCCACTAGGTAGATAATTATACTAACCAGTCTTGCAGAGTCTATCACTCGATCCGAAGGGGACATTATGCGCGTACGCTACGTAAGTATTCAGGATTCACCGTGATGATCGAGCTTCGCCATCTGGCTACCGTAATTCTCCTTCTGGAAGTAGCCGTGACTGTCGTACATTCCCTGCTGCTGATGACGATACTGAAGGTAAGCCTCGTGGAGACGTTGGTGATCTTGCATGGCGGAAGTTGCTTGAACTGTTGTCGCAGCGACCTGATGCACCGCGTGCATCATTGTATTCGTCGGCGAAGCGGTTCCTGCGGCCAACAGTCCTTCTATCGGTGATCCACTTTGGCTAGTCGAGACTACGTCCTCCGAGGTTGATTCCAGACCGTTGTAACCGAGCTTGCCGTCCTTCTTCGCCTTCATTCGACGGTTCTGAAACCAGATCTTGATCTGACGCTCCGTCAGACACAGAGCTTGGGCTATTTCGATGCGGCGTCTTCGAGTGAGGTAACGATTAAAGTGGAACTCTTTCTCCAGCTCGAGAGTTTGGAAGCGGGTGTAGGTCTGTCGGGTACGCTTCTGTCCGCTGCTGTTCCCATCGCCTGTAATTCGCGAGAAATTTTGAAATTTTCAGGGGGAGGAAATTCTTTGGGAGACTTGGTGAATTTTTGTAATGAAAATTGGGTTATTGTTAAATTTGCCAAATTCTCCAACTGACAGTATCGGAGATTCTAATTTATGAAATTGGGCAATAACTAAATTTATCGAATTCCTTATTACTATTTTTCTAATTACTGAGAGCTGTCCAGAACGAACCATTAGAATGGGAAGACTTCATCCAAGGATAGTCCACCTGCCGCTGCTCGTCCGCGAACTCGTTGGCCTCGTTAGGGCTCTGCTTGCCATTATTATTATTATTCACATAAGCACCGTAACTCTGTTGCACGCCATAGTCCGTGGGCGAACTAGGTGTCATCATCGAGGGTGTCACGCAGCTGCTAGAGTGTGGTTGCGCAGGATAGCCTTGATACCCTTGCAAGTATCCATTCCGTGTTTCCTGTTGCTGAACTCGTTCCTGGCTCTCCGGTAAAAATCCAGCGATAGGCGACGTTCTATCTGTCGAAGAAGTCGGCGTATACGGCGGAGTCTGACAAGAAATATGCGAGCCACTCTGTCCGCGAGGCGAAGCGACAGATTTTCCAGCGGAATTAACGTAACCATCGCTGATTGCCTCTTTGCCGTGACGAAGAAGGGTCTCGAGTAGACTCGAAGGGGGTGAAAGATCTTGACTCGGCCTCTGATTGTAATCCGAACCGGAGTGCAGCTGCTGATGCGCCGTCTGATACGCGCTATCGGGGTACATAACCTGTTCGGTGGATCGATCACCGATGGATGACTGATAAGGCCAGTAGTCCGCCGACTCGCTGCTGGCGAAATACGCTGAACTGGTCATGACGATACACCACGGTTCGTATCCTAGTACCGCGAGACGATTATTCACCTGATGGATTCCCGAGTGACACAGCTCCGACCACTTGGAATTGTACACGTCTCATGAGGTGCGTAACTTCACTTCGATCGAGATCACCGATCCTTCACTCAACAATTTACACTGTTCGACATTTTCGTGCGCGCTGGAAAATTAACGGGAACACAGGAACTGCCGAGGTTAGGTACGCCGAAGTAGCTATTCCAAGGGACGAGACGCAGCACAGAGAGGTCCTCGCCAGGCCGACTTCCAATGAAATGAAACGATTCCTGTCCCCGTGACGATTTCGACCGTCCACGGTACACGGGGGGTTCTACGCGTGCCAAAAAGGGGCACCCCGGCAAACTTTCACCGGTTTATTACCGTACCACGCGGACACAGGCTCCCCGACGGAGGTGGAGGGGGACAGGACCGAGCTACCCTTGTCGTTGCTCCAACGTAGCGCCTCCCGTGGTAGTGCAGAGCTACCGCACAGGGGAGCTCTTACTTCTCTCTGTCTCTCCCTTTCTCACTTCTATCAGCTGCCCTTTGATTCGGAGTTAAGGCCACCCCCGACACACGCACCGATCTGTGCCTCAATCCCCTCCCACTATTAACGCTATTCACACAAAACCCATATTGGCTCCCCTTGCGCCCGACCTCGCACAATGCCTGCCATGTGTGCACCACCCCTGGATCCTCGGTGCACCCCGCCGACCTATCGGCGAAGGGTACACACCCTGGCTGGATTTTGTCTCGCGAGGAGCGATGATAAAGTCGAGCGAATTGATAAGTGGAGCTTTATGAGACCTCCGAGGGAGGAGGAGGATTTGTGGGTAGATGTTTTACTTGGGAGATTGTGGGAATAAGGAAGGTTAATTGGCGGGAGAGGAAATGTGTTCTCTGAATTGGGAAGATTGGGTGTAGAATGGAGGAATGGGGATCGAAGCTTAATTGACGCAGCAATTGAAGACTTAGGCAGGAAAAATGAGGGATAAGGAGATGTCTCTTTCAGGGAGGAGGAAGTTGGGACAGGGAATGTATTTGCGATGCAAAGTGAAATTATGGAAAATTAAAAATTGGACGTAATAAAGTAGAAGTGAATTTTCGAAATTATATAGATGGCACTGATTGGATGTGAATTAATTTGTGGGAAATTTCAAAAGTTGAGCCAGTCAGGTATCTCTCTACGATAAATTTCTGCGGTAGGACTCGATTTTTGAAATGGTTCAGACGACGTAATTAACAGAAGCGAAGTTGGGAATTAAGGATCGATAGGTATCAGAGAATGTCCGCCACGCAAGTCGGCCGCCAGGTTTTTGAAAATCTTCAGGGCACGCAGGGGTTTTGCAAACGTTTTTAGCGAGGGGAAAGGAAAAGAGTGAAATAGATATTTCGAGCGGGTAAACAAAGAGCGCGCGGCGAAGCTAGACGCAGGCAGTCTTGCGAGTGACGTCTCTTTCTAGAAGCCTGACCGGCGACGATTAATCAACCCCGGTGAACCCTCTCTCGTCCTCTCTCTCTCTCTCTCTCTCCTCCTTTCCTGTTATATACACGTGCATTTAGCACGTCTCTTCTGCCCCCGTTCACCTTCTGTATTTTCATTAATCCCACTTTCGTCCCGGCGCATTTGCGAGGAGGGGAGACGAGAGGAGGAAAGGTCGAAGAAAGCTGAAGAATTATGAAAGTAGGCCCGGCTACATCCAGAGGGAACCCGACCACTTAACGCGTCCAAACCTCTTTTCTTCCGGCTCCTTCGAACAGTTGTCTCTTCTGCTTAGAGTTGAAATAAAAGTAGAGGATGATTCTTTGTTTGAAATTTCAAATTGATTTATTCCAAAATCACTCCACTGCATAATAAATATTTCATTTCTATCTATCATACTATTCTGTGAGATTTTCCATTCGCCTAAGACAGAATTCTTCCTCATTCTTCCTGCAAATATTTTCACTCCCCTTACATATCTCTTCAACTGCCGTTTTACCTCAAATCTTCCACAATCCTTCGTCCATTTTCCTAAAACTTTTCAATTCCCACTTATCGTCCAATCACCGAAATAATTAGAACAGACGTAGAGTGCGTTTACGAAGGAGACGCACAAGAGTCTCTTTAATTCGAGCAACACTCCAGGGTAAAACCGAGGATTAAGTGAGACACAATCGTCCGAGAGGCGGCTAACGATCAGCTTACGCTTAAAGAGGCCGCTTCGAAACAATTATCGTTCCGGCGAAGATAATAGACGGCCTTGCGGACAAACTATAAATAGTAAAGTAACCCCGAAAAAACGTGATTGATGATGCGTTCGACGCGGTGACCAAACCTCTACGGGGACTCCGGCCGGCTGATCAGGATGGACACGCGTCCACGTAACCACATTCTCACGCACGGTATACACACACGCCGGTGTTCACACATACCAACACGCAAATGATGCTGGGAGAAAGAGCGTCAGAGGTTGGGTCTCGCGTGTGCAACAGAGGAACGGCCACGACGATAATAAATAATAATCCGCAAAGGGCGATACTTGTGGGAAGGAACGAGGGTCGAGAGCGTTTCGCGAACCATACATGATTTTACCTACTGACTTCATTTTCCTGGCTGCGATGGCGGGAAACTGTGGCGCGCGATCTTAATGAAACTTTGCTTGTACGTATAGGTGGTGCGATGTTAATGAAAGCTCGACGGATAGGGAGATGTTAGATAAAGAGGAATATGGTGGCTCGGGTCGTTGAGAGGCGATGGGAATCTGGATTCGTCGCGATTGCCCTGAAGCGAGGAGAGAGGGATTAAAAGGAGGAAGAGTGAACAGAAATTTTTGGTAGGATGAAATGGGAGATTCTAAAATTGGCGGAATATTGAATCGTGGAGATTCTAGAAAGGAAAAGGGGTGCTTTTGGAGGCGGTGGGAATCTTGGATTCGTTGTGTTTGCGATTGTTTGAATTGAGGAAAGCAGGATTGCAAGAGTGAATGGAAATTTTGGGCTGAAAGAAGTGGAGAATGAAAAAAATTGACAAAAATACTAAAGCACAAAGAGAGAATGGTGTTTTAAACAGTTGAAAGGCGATAGAAATCTTGGTTTAGTTGCGTTTGCGATTGTTTGAATTGAGGAAAACAGGATTGCAAGAGTGAATGGAAATTTTGGGCTGAAAGAAGTGGAGAATAAAAAAAATTGACAAAAATACTAAGACACAAAAAGAAAATACTATTCTAAATCGTTGAAAGACGGTGGAAGCCTTGGATTCGCCGCGTTTGCGACTGTTTGAATTGAGAAAAGCAAGATTGCAAGACTAACTAAAAATTTTCGACTGAAAGAAGTGGAGAATAAAAAACTTGACAGAAATACTAAAGCACAAAGAGAGAATGGTGTTTTAAACAGTTGAAAGGCGATGGAAGCCTTGGTTTAGTTGCGTTTGCGCCAGTTTGAGCTGAGAAATCAGGATTGCAAGCGTAAATAGAAATTTTCCGTTCAATGAAGTGGAGAATCAAAGAAATTGGCAAAAATACTGAAAGAGAAAAAAAGGATGGTGTTTCGAGTCGTTGAAAAACTGAAAACCTGGAATTTGTCACGTTTGCCCTACGTTCAATCCACAAACCCAGGATTACAGGAGAAAATGCAAACATCCAACCCAAAGAAGCATAAACTCGAAAAAATCAGCGAACCTCCTAAAACAAAGGCCCGAAACAAAGGACCCCCCAGTCTCCCAGAAAGAATGAAGACGTCGAAACTCGGGAACCGCCTCGAACCGTGTAACACGGCCACAAAGAGCAGCACGAAGAGCAAACAGCGTTAAAGCTCGTCGAGCAGGAGTGCGGAACAGATTTCCGGAAAAAACGAGGTAAGGGTGTCGAGTGAAAGTTTTATTGCTCATTGTCGCGCGACCGGGGAATTTTTCGAAGGCGTCCGTCGTTCTCCTTCGTCCTCCTCGTCGTCGTCGTCGCGTTCCCCCGTGTATACCTGGCGGGTACAAAAACGCGGCGGAACAGCTGGCAATAATTCTGTTTATGGTGTTGTACAGTTCGAGGCGACACGGTCGACGTAAAAATGAAGACACCGTGGCTGCCAGCCGGAGCCAGAGGTGGCTCTTCACCTGAACGTCGTACAAGAAGGGTGGGGATAACGCGTGGGGAGGCGCGTGTCTTCGAGTTGCTCGGTTGTTAAGGGACGCTGCTATTTACGAAGCGGACTCATAAAATATAAAGACGGCGCACTTTGGCTGCAATACGTCATCCCAGGTGTCGTTCAGGTAGTTTGCTTAATACTACGCTCTCTGGTCCCGCTGTAAATAAGAACCTGCCCTCTTCTTTTCCTCTTCTTTTTATTCCCTTCTCCTTCACTCGTTTTCTCAACACGGGAAGACACTGCAAGGAGGTCTATGCACGATTTCACCGTGCAATTAAGATTTCCGACCGTGTACGGTGTGTGCGCGTGTGCTTGTGTCTGGGAGAGAAGGCCTCACGATCGTAATTGAGGTTGCACGGAGGCATTAATTATATGTGGGAAAGCTTGCCCTTCGAATACCCGATAATTGTGAATTCTTTATTTTAAGGGCTATGTAGTTACGTCGGTTCGCTTCGTTTATTGCCATATAACGAAGTTAATTTCTTTATTTTATGTCGAGACGAAGGTTTCGCTGGGAATTCTTTGTTTTATGTTACACATAATTTCGCGTTTTATATTAAACAGAAAATTTCAGAATGAATTCCTTCCTTTTTTTTATTATTAAACACAGGGTTTCGTTTATTTCTTCATTACGTATTTCAATACGAAGGTTTCATTACGATTTCCTTGTTTTATATTAAATAGAAAATTTCATCGTGAATCTCTCATTTTGTATTAAACAGAAAATCTGAATTCTTCATTTCATATCAAACGCAAGCTTTCGTTTATTACTTACGACTAATTAAATTCCTTTCTTCACGTTAAACAGTAGGTTACACTTATCGCCTCGCAAGAATTCGAAGGAAAGTGATATTTGTTTCAAA